AGTTTCCAAACGACGGGCGGCCTCCGGGCGTGAGCTGGTGGCCGCTGGTTCTTCTGCAGGAACGCAGCTCTGAGGAGAGCCCAGGGAAGCGCACCCCAGCGACGGCAGGCCCGGAGCGCAGGACGGGGGGCCGCGGCGCAGAGGGGTGTGAGGGGCCAGAGACTCCCCCATCTGCGTGAGGCTGGCAGGGGGCTCGGCCGGTGACCCCACAAAGCACCCCTGCGCGTCCGAGTCACCCCACCCACGGAAGGCGGAGGCTCAGGTCTGAGGAGCCTGGGGGCCGGGCGGTGACGGCGCGGGGAGCAGGCCCGGCCCTGGGGGCCGCGGGGCTTTACCCCCAGAGCGGGGCTTTACGCGCCTGTCTGTTCTTATTGACACAGAACCCAAACAAACGAAACACCACAGCTGTCCGTCACGGCCCCGCCGGGACCTCACTGCAGACCTCAGCGTCCACTAGTTGACTCTGTTCCATTTGTCCACTTAGCTGCGTGGTTTCCTCACTCGGCAGGCAGGAGACACCATCCAGTGTCGGCCTTCCTCCTCCTGCCTCACCTGCTTCCCCTAATGCCCTGGGTTCCCTCCATTTTGCTGCAAACAGCAACGGTCATGTTTCCCGGCTGAACGGGCCCCGAGTGGCCGGCCTCGTCTCCCCAAGCGTCCTCTGTCCCTGGCCGGGATGATGTTATGATGCGTGAGACTTTGGGGTTGACGACGTCCTATTCTTTGGCTGGACACTAGAAGTGGGGACGCTGAATCCCTGGGTACCCTGAGTTGTATTTTTTTGTGGAAATGGATGCATGCGGTTCCCCCAAAGGGCGGTGCCGACGCGCCGAGGCAGCCAGGGCCCGTGCTCCACGCCTGCGCTGCTGAGGTTAACACCCCCCAGGGGAGCGAGGGAGGGTGAGCGCCCAGTGTCCTGTTATCCAAACCGAGAAGACGCCGGCAGCCACCGCCTCGCTGGAGGGCTGACCTCAACCACGCTGCGAGGTGTGGGCTCCTGGAAGGGGGGCAGCGGGGGCTCCCCAGGGCCCAGACCTGGCCCCTGCCTGTAGGCTGGACTCCCTACATACACGTCAGCGCCGCAGGTGACGTCCGCGGCTCTGACCAGGCCGACGCCCTCGTCCACGTCAGAATGACTGGAGCTGAGTGAGAGGGCGACCCGGCGGGTCCAGCCCAGGCCGCGGGGGGCGGTGGGCGCGGTGCTCACCAGCAGCGGCCACAGGAGCGGAAAGTGCGCCTTGCCTCATTTTTTAATTTTCTCGATGGAAATGATTCCTTGTGGAGGAAAACAGCAAGGACAGGCCCGGCAGCTGTCGAAAGTGCAGCAATCCGAGGTCCGGAGTTGTGACGCGCGGGCCCTGGGGCGCCCCGGGCCCTCCCGGCCTGCCGGCCTCGGGGACACTCCTCTTGGGCTGTTCAGGCAATACACCACGCACGTGTGTCTTGGCTCTCGGGCCCCCCCTCCCCCCAGGGCTGTGACCCGAACCCCTAAGTCTTGTCCAGAGTCGTAAACGCGTTACTGAAATAGAGTCATCAAACGTGGGAACATCGCTTTGCGTACGAGGCCGGAAGGCGCGTGGACCCTGTCGTCCTCGCGTGACTGCCGGAGAGCGTCACATCACGCCAGCTGCCACCATGGCCACCGTCGTGCGGGCGCAGGGCCGTGGGGGTGCAGCGCTGCGTCAGCCGGTGCGGGGGAGCCCTGGGCTGAGGCCAGGGCCGCCCCCTCCTCCCGAAGCCCGGCCTGGCCAGAGGCACTTGCCCTGACGCCGAGCTGAGCCCGTAAAAGCCGGGGCCTAGGCAGGGCAACGTCACCCCAAAGGTCAGGTGGC